CTTTAGCCTTAGGTGTTGTCATATTTGAGAAACTGGAAGAAAATCTTATCTGAACACTTCAAAAAGTTGATGTTAATTTTGTAGAAAGAAAATTGCAGGTTTTAGAATATCCCTCAGAGTATTTGTAAGCATAGAAAGCTGCAGTTCATGCAGGTGCTGTCTTGAATTTCATTGAGTTTTCTTCTGTCAGGTGGTTATGTTGTACTCTCCATTCTCTCTGTTAGTCCTTTGCAGAGAGAGATTTTATTACATGTTTTGCTAAAATAGGGTGAAAAAGTGTCAGTTGAAATGGAAGTTTACGTTAGGTCAGAGTTAATGATTTAGAAAGGCAGCTTGTAGTTTCATTAAAGGAAAAAAAATGTGAAAGCAGATGTGTTACCTGGTTCTTTAGTAGGCACTGTCAGAGTTTTCATCCCTTGGGACAGACAGATCTGTTATTTTACTGCCTCTAGGAAAAAGATCTTCATTACTTTCTCAGAGATGTGTGTCTGTAATAGGAGGTTAAGCAAACCTGGGTATTTTACTTTGCTACAACACTGTAAGATCAGAAGTTTTGGCCAGATTTAAACAACTGTATGGAATTTTAGGAAATTGCCAGAGATTCTGAACTTTGTCTTTAAACTGTTCACCAGGTTACCTGATTTGTCTTAAGACAAATCGTCTTAACCAAAAATCCTTGCTAAAGAAGGGATGATGGAAGGCCAAGCACTGTGCCTTCTTGTGGAAGAAGAGTCTCAAGGCCGTCTTGCTTTACTTGGGAGGTTCTAGCCCTTCTGCTATTGTGGATCACTTTTGAAGACTGCTCAGTTGTTGAAGTCACTGGGTAGGAGATGTTGAGGGGGAAAAAATAATTGTGTTCTCCTAAAGATCTTAATTCAGAAAGTACTTTGTCCTTTAGTAAGTGATCTATATCTTCACTCTTAAAACGTGGTAAGACTGTAATAGTGCTGTTTTGTTAGCCTCCTAGTATCTTAGAAAGAGGGTGGAAATAGAGATCTATTTATTTTTACTTAGTTTCCCCAACAGCCTCCATTTTCCAGGATGTCATTTTCCTTATCTCTATTTGCACGTCTCTGCTGCTTGTTTCCCCAAGCAGCAGAAGCAGCAGAACAAAACTGGTGTTTGGTTTGTTTGTTCTTGACAATTTCATCATTTCACAAAGTTCATGTATTACAGGAGTGACAGTCACTAATAAATGTCACTCTTTTGCCTCCCTTGTTAGAGGTGTAGACAGCAACCAAGGCGTTCAAGGTTATGGTAGCCTTAGGGAAATGGCATTGCCCTAGTTCATCTTCTTTATGTAAGGTTCTTTGCAACCACAGAAATTGTCAGGGTTTTTTTGTTTCATGAAGCAGTTATGTATAAAACCCAGTGGTTTTGACACCCCCCCCCTCCTCAGGCTTTCTAGAGAGCATTTTGACTATCGCTTGTGAGTGACTTCTCAATCCTGGTAGGATTCAGCAGAAGTTGACATCTGGTTCTTGTCAGCTTTTTGGGAGACCTGTCAGCTTGACATCTGGGCTGTTTGGAACATAGCTGTGAAATAGTTTCAGGTATTTAATTTGGGTTTGACTTTCCCTAGCAGTTGGTGGTTTTACACCTGCATCAGGAAGATACAAAAATCTACAGCATGCGTGGTGAAGTTGCTTACTGCGCAGTACTTGACAGATAAACTCTGCTGACATACAGATCTGTCAAAAGCATGGGGCCGACTGAAACAGTGCATCTGTTTTTGTTAAGGATATGTCACTTGTAACAATAGCAGCTGAATGAGTTTTACTTCAAAGTTTGTTTTGTGTTTTTAATATAAAGAATATTGCACTCTACTTGCCAGACTTGCTTCTTCAGGAATATCTTTACATCAAAATGTTTTCTTTGTGATGGAAAATAATCAAAATGTTGTGGGGTTTTGGTTTTTTTCTGGGTAGGCTTTTTCTTTTGTTCCATTTTTAGAAGGTATTTTTATTACCTGTCAGCTAATTGAACTGGGAATATTTGCCACTGGCTGAGATACAAAATTTAGTTAAACCCCCCCAAAAAAAAAGTTAAATATTGGATTGACCAGTTACCAAACTTAATGTTGCTAATAAGTTTATGTACTTGTATGTTGATTCATGAGAAGCTGTAAGGCATTAGTATAAGCATGGTGTCTCCCCACTTTTAGTGTCTTCCTTTGTATTTACAGATTTTTTAGGTTACAGTATGCTTTGTGTTCTGCTCTTATTCTTGCTGGATAATAACAAATGACTAAATACCATCGCCATTGTCTATCATGTCAGTATGTAAGGTTTTTGTGTTGCATGACCTTCCTGTGTTCGGCTCTCTGGTATACATTGTGTTGACTTTTTACTTCTGAATTCTGCAACTACAGTTACCAGAGGAATCAACCATCCATTAGCCTCTTCTAAGATTGGCAGCCATTCTTTCTAATGATGAAACAGTATGTGCATCAGTCCACAGAGCAAGAACCAGTAAATATATGTTTGGATGTGCAATGAATGGACTTCTGGGCTAGGAGGTTGAAACTTTCCTACTGCAACCCTTAGTGTCACAGACATGTTGGGTTTACTTTTGGGTTTTTTTGAGATTTAAACACAGGCTTTGATATTTAAAATGATTTTAAATCTGTTGGACTTTTGGATATTATTTTAGGTGTTCATTTGTTTTATGGCCTTAGTATTTTCTTGTCTCTTCATAGGACCCCAGCTGAATGCACAACTAGAAGGCTGGCTTTCTCAAGTACAGTCCACAAAAAGACCTGCTAGAGCCATTATTGCACCGTAAGTTTGAAATCTGCTTTTAGTCTATATAATACCTAATTTGTTAAATGCTGCTTTGAGTGATTTTTGGATATGGCAAAGAATGAAAGAAATCTGTGCGCATTTTGGTACAGGATTAGTTTCCTTTTGCTGATGCACTGAGACATAACATTTATTTGTGATCCAGGAAGGTAAGAGGTGTATTAGTGGAGTGGTAGTCTAAGGGGACAGCTCCTTTAATGCACTTCTAGTGTAGAACAGCTACCTTTATTAAAAAAAAACCCTAAACCTATACAAAACCAAAACTCCAGCATCCCATCCCCTCTTCCCCATCCCTCCCCCCCCCCAGTAAAAACTTAGCAAAGCTTAAACTGAAAAAGTAGTGAAACATTATTCAGTTACCTGGAATGGTTTACTTTTGTCATTTTAGTTTGGGATTTTTTGGTTTTGGTTTTGTTCGGGTGCTTTTTATTCACAGCAGAAATAGGGATCATCTAAACTATTTAAGTAGAGTTCAGTTTCCTGAAGGTAGCTGAGACATACAATAAGAAAAGTATGTTTGTTATTCCAGTTATTATGAGTTGAAAGGAAACACTAGAAGCACCACCTTGAATATGATGTTTTCCTGTACTAACATAATGTTTGAAGTATTCCATAATAGTGTTGAATGTGCAGAAGAAATTGCTCCAAATCTGCCTTAGTCTTTCTTGCAGAAATGTCAGGAAAGAGTCCTTTTAGCTGCGTAGCAGGTAACCTGGGTTCTTTTTCCAAAATTGCTGGAGGTCTTCCAGTGGTCTCACAAAATTATTCCATTAACCATGCCTTTGTTTTCCCACCTGTAAAGTGGGATATGGCTAATATTTTAGTGAAAGACTGAAGAAACCTGAAGCAGAGGAAACCTTTCAGGGGCTCTTCTGACATTGTCAGATAACATACCTTGCCAGCTCACAAATCTCGGTGTCCTGTTTAACCTGTGTTAGTGCCTTTCTGAGTGCTTTAGAATGAGTGAGGAAAGTGACACTGATGTAAAAAAGAAATACAAACCCGGGGTGATTTTGAGGGTAATTTTTTCCAGGTATCACTCTGTGGATGAATATACATACATGTGAGCATACATACATAAAAGTAAAAATGAAATCCTTCGGTGGTGGGGAACTTATATCTTCAACATCCTGTATGTCCCAGGACTTGCAGCATGTATAATTCTCAGTATTATTGTGTAAAATTATTGTATAATTCTCAGTATTATTTGAGAGTAATATAAATACAATACAATAAAAGAATAAGAATATATAGTATAAATTCAATAATATTTTTATTATTGTATAATATCTCAGTATTATTGTGATAAACTGTAGTTGTGTTGTTGCACATACTTGACTCAACCAGTAAGTACTGAGCTAGAGCACAAGTGCTCCAGGGGTGATGTGGCCCAAATGCTGTGCAATGTGAACATGGCGTTCTGTTGGAACCATGCATATGGCCTGGGACGCTGGGGAATCAACATTGTCTGGACTGAATGCTTTTAGTACTGTAAACAGAATCTTCACCTGGTTTTAACAGTCTTGAAGGGAATGGGTCTTAAGATTTAGATGTGATATTTGAAGCAAGCAGTCAGAATAATTATGAGTGTTTTTGTAGTGCACACAGGAACACCAGTTGAGAAAGGCTCTAGGCCAGAGTGATAGGAAATGATGCAGCATGCATTGCATTCTCTGTGGTAAAAGCTATCTTGCTGCATTCCACTCTTTTCCTTGTGTCCATTCATTCTATTGCTGAGAGCATTTTTATTCTCTGTTTATCTGCTGTAAGGTAGTTCTCTCTTTGCCAGACCCCTGTACTATTATACTCAGTTACTGATGTGTGGTTAGAAGAGCTTTCTCCAGCAGCTTGCTATTTGCTTGTCCCCTGGCTGTACTCTTAACATTATCATGAGCTTTTGATAATATGCAGTTGTGTAGTCTGCCTAGCAGTATCTTTTACAAGGAACAAAAGGTGCTTTGATCTGGAGACTTACTAACTTTCAAGTAGATGTTCTTCAGCACATGCCTCTTGTACACTCAGTATTGAAACAGTGCTCTCCATCTCTTTCAGGAGTTGATTTTTGGATCACTCTTGCTATTTCTAGTTCCTTGGGGACAAATAATATTTAAGATATCATAATTTAATAGCAATATCAACATATGAAGATGTTAAACAGTATTCAACGTACTAACATTTTGTACACCTTGATTTGTAGCCATGCAGGGTATACTTATTGTGGATCTTGTGCTGCCCATGCTTACAAACAAGTGGATCCTAATATTACGTAAGTATTGAAGTTTTTCTTTACAAAGTGCAAGACAATGCCATTGGAATTCTCTGAGAAAACTGAATGTGCTTTTTACGTTCTTACACTACAAATTTTACGGATTTTAATTTTGTACCCTTTTTGGTCTTTTATCCATCCCTTCTGTTGTGACATCATAAATGTTCAAATTGTTTGGATGTTACAATAGAAAAAAAATGCATTATTATTGAAATTGAACATGTAAAGCACTATTTTAAAAAATTATTGAGGTTTTGGTTGCTAACTTTTTAGAAGGGAGGGGGTTAACCATGTTCTTTTTGCAGATAATAACCTTCAATTTACTTTATTGTTCGATGTTCTACTGCTTTTATAAAAGCCCAAGATGTTTTCCTTTTTAAGTGGTCATAGGCTGTCTTTGTTACTTTTCCTTTTTTTTTCCGTGTTCTTCTTTTTGTTGTTTTTTGTTGTGAGGTTTTGTTTAAGTATATTAAAAATCTTGATTATGAGTCTGCATTGGTTTTTCAGTGCAGGATGATAGGCTGAATGCTACCAGGAGTCTCTTCTGCTGTGGAGAAAGTGACCAGTGTGTATATATAATATTTGAAGACAGTGAAAATTAGTTGTAATGATTTTAAGTGGACCTATGTTTCTAACAGCACAGCTGTTTGAAAGAGGAGAAAAACCCCAACACAGTACTGTAGTCTGTGCCTGTCTCTGAAAATATGAATCCAGTTATTCTGTGTTAAAATAATATAATTTTTATGTGTTCTGCTGAGTGCAACAGTTTTTAAAAGGACAAAACTTTAAAATATCTCTAGTATTTACTTAAAGTATGTATTTTGAAACGTTAATATAAAAACTGGCTATGTCCGTCAGTTGCATATGTGATAACATGCTGTAATGAAGAAAATGGTTTTGATTCTTGCTAAACTGTTGCAATCAAAGTGAAAGTAACTTTATGGTGTGACAGATAACTAGCTTCTCTGAAATTTCTAGAGCAAGTTGCATTCCCCAGGTTCACTGATGTGGAGTTGATTGAGCTTTCTGGATCATTTGCTGTTTCACCACAAGGGATGTTTACAATTCATCTTTCAGCTGAACTATTGCATGTTTGGATATTTTGTTTTTATGAGCCCTGTAAAAAGTTTTAGTATTTTACTATAGCTTGCTACAGCACTCCACATGTAAAGTTAGGGGGAAACCTTTACCTGTCTCCCACTCCTTTAGTTCAGTGCCAGGAACAGAATGATATGATCCTGAATCTGAAAAGCTGAATTTCCTATAGGTTGTGTTCTGTTTTTTCTTTAAGTCCTGTGGCAGGAGACCCTTAACATCTAATCAAGAGCCAGGAACTGAGGAGTTGATGAAATAACATCATGGTGACGTGTGAAAGCTTGCAGTGTCGGCTAAAGCTACAAATGTGCAGGTCCAAGTCCCTGTTGTTGAGGCAACAGCTGGATAAAAATAGCATTTGGGAATGATTTAAATTTGAATGTAGTGAAATCTGAAGTAAAGTTAATCAAGTAAATAAGGAAAAAGCTCTGAATAGGTGATAAATCCATAATCCTCATTTGAGGGTATGTATCTGTAATTGTTGAAGGTATTATGTAACTGAAGGTTGTGTTATTCCAAGGAGAGAATCCAAAAATCTTCTAAGGGACGATAACACATCATTCAGCCTCCAAATGAGTCCAGTTGAACAGATTATCTAGCTGATGTGTGCCCTCTGATATACAACCTGCTTAAGAGGTTTAAGGCTATCGAAGCATTACTGAACAGATCCCATGATCGTTTCTGAGATATCAAGCAAGACCATGGGCTGATCTGTGGTCTTTACACACAGCAGAGTAAAACTCTCCAGGTAACCACCAGAAAATATCGCTTTGTACATTTTTATTGAACTTGCTACTCTAAACCAAATGTCTGTACAATTGCAGTTGTCTGAACTGTGGGCTTTTGTGTTAACTGTTGTAGCCGAAAGATTTTCATTCTTGGGCCTTCCCACCACGTGCCCCTTTCCCGATGTGCACTTTCCAGTGTGGACATTTATAGAACACCTCTGTATGATCTCCGAATTGACCAAAAGAGTAAGTGCATGATAAAGCTTGCATCTTGAAGATTGCTGTAGCTTGAGTATTAACTGGTACTGCAGTGCTGAGGACTCTTGTTGCAGGGAGCTTGATTGCTTTTATATATATACAAGTACAAACCTGTTTTACTGCAATGAAAGCTAACTTCTGGCAGATTCTGGTGGTTGCAGGGACTGCTGTATTATAACCTTAATGTGTCTCTTGCTCCTGCAAGTAAAGAATTCTCGGGCTTTGCTTATCTTTTCCATTTTGAATCCTTGTCTCACTGACAAGTGGCCTTTAAAGGGGGATCTTGAAATTAAAACGTGTCACATATGAATACACACTTGTTTCATTGTTCCATGAGGGATTTTGTCTGCAAAGAAAGATACTGCTACAGCTGGTTTGAGTTTATTTCTGATAGAGGAGTAACAGAGGAACAAAAAGCTGCTTTTATTTGATGCATTATAGCATGTAACTTTTTTAACTGGCAGAGAACCTACAGAACTTAAAACCTGTTAGTTAGCCCATGAAATACTAGTCTTTTAGACTAAGCTTGAAGGTGCAAGGAAGAGAAATTCGATGTTTTGCCTTTCATGCGTTTTGAGGAATGCCTAAATAATCCAGTATCTTCTTCAGAAGGACTGAGTAGCGCAGATACGTTGCTATTTCATCATGACTGTGATGAAGCAAGCTAGTTCAGGCTTTCTACATAGCACTTGCAGAAATTTCCTTAGGTAACAAGTGTTTTGGTTTCTGTAGAACTCCTTTATGGAGTGGAGAAGGAGGCACAGTTCCACATCAGATTCGTCTAGTGGAGAGTTTTCAGAATGTAGAGATGACTCTGCATACCAGCAGGCACACCTGGCAGTAGAACAGATGACTTATAAATGTGGCTTACTTAATTCTGTCTCTAGATTTCATGATTCAATTAATACTGAATTGCATTAAATCGTAATACATCCAGGACTTGCTCAGCTGATCAGCTGTTTGTTTATTTTTTATGTATGTATTTAAACATATGATGGTGTAGTCAGTGACTGGAAAACGGCATGCATATTTTCAATGTGTCTTTTTGTGTTACTTACCATGCCTGAAAATCTTTTTTCAACATAGTAACACAGTTCTTTTATAAAATGAATCAATTATGTTTATCTTTGACCTGAACATAATTTTAATCCTAATTTTAAAAACAAGTGGTTTATGATGCCAGCCCTTATAGTCAAATAACTTTTTATATCAGGCTTGTTCAGGTGAAGATGCGCTCTAGCTTGCTTTACAGTGTTTTGTTGTTTGGCTGGTTTTTTTAAGTAGTAAAAATTAATATTTAATTCATTTCAGTTTATGGAGAATTGTGGAAGACTGGAATGTTTGAGCGTATGTCCCTACAGACAGATGAAGATGAACACAGTATTGAAATGCATTTGCCTTACACTGCTAAAGCCATGGAAAGGTACTAGGGCTAAGTACTACTTCTATAAGAATGAGCATTATGTGCATCAAATGTTTGAACTACATGTGAAGTATGAACTAATAATACCCTTTATGGTACGCTCCACACCCACCAATAAAACTTTTGAGGAGGATCAGGACAGAGACTAGGATTAGATGCCGTAGTAGAAACTGAGAGGAGGAAACACCTGCATGATGAAATTGGAACACCCTTTATAAACAAGTTTGTATGGTTATATTGACTTAATATAGTTAAAATTAGACATGCTTTCACGAGTCTTTCTCAGTAGTTGGGTTTTTTGTTTTATTTGGGGAGGGTATTTTGTTTTGTTTTTTTTTTTTCTTTTGCAATGCATCTCTGAAAGAAGTTCAAATAATAATAGGTGTTTTCTGTGGAGTTTTAAATTCGTTCAGAGCATTAATATTTAATACTGATTCTTAAATTAGGGTTCTGTCTACGTTTGCTATTTCAGATAAGTACTTTGAATAATTTTAAAGGCCATATTTGTCAATTTGTGGTGGTTATTTACCCCACACATGCTTTTTTTAATTCTACAGTATTTGTAATTTTTTCTGGAATATCAATATACAGTCTGGGTGCTGTCTTGAGCATTTTCATATATGTTGAAAAATTACCCAACATTTGTGCAGCATCTATACAGGAAGAATTTCATTCTTACTGTAATTGCTGGTTCCCTTGTGTCTTGTCTTTCTGTTTGCCTGGTGTTTTCACATTGCAGCAAAGATGAATACTGTTGGAGGGGTGGTGGGTATTTTCTGAAACAAGTACTTTCAGGTTCTAAAACAACTTTCTAGTATGACCTGATTAAATTAACTGCATCTTCAACTCAGTAGTGCCCTTTTAAACCGTTCTGCAATTTCAGTTAGCAAGCCCTATAAAAACTTCAGATGTTACTTGAATTACAACCTCTTTTCTTTTGCTTATAAGCCATAAGGATGAGTTTACTATTATTCCTGTGTTGGTCGGAGCACTGAGTGAGTCAAAAGAGCAGGAATTTGGAAAACTCTTCAGTAAATACCTAGCTGATCCTAGTAACCTCTTTGTGGTTTCTTCTGACTTTTGCCATTGGGGTAAGTTTCACATCTCTTCATTATAAGATGATATCCATAGTGATTTTCAGAGAATGTATTTTATTAAACATTGAGCGTTTTAACTTCTGGTAAATGCATCTTTGAAACTTAAGTGTCTACTGTAAAGTAAAAAGGGTTTTTCTTCTTTTAATCTAGAACAATAGATGAAAAATATTAATGTGGTAATGTGTTTTCAGTGTAGTGGAGGCAATAAATAGTGAAGATGTATGGGTTTATATGCCTCTCTTTACTGTTGCAATAAAATAATTGTCTGAAGTTTCTTGCTCTTTTTACTCTTCTTCTAAGCACTTCAAAGCAACTTGCAAAACTAATTAGGTAAAAATTCACTGGACATGACAACATCCCCTCTGATGGAAGTAAGCTTTGTATGTTTTACTGCTGGGTAAGGTAGCAGATGGAGTATGTATGCCAATTGATCAGAGCTATTCCAGTTCATCTTGGTGGCAGAACTATAAAGATTCCAGAAGCTTTGACTTCTGTCCTGCTTTTAACACTTCTTCTTTCAAGTGTAATAATAGCTGGAAGAGAGACTGCTTCAGAATGATATGTTTTGTGTTACACAACAGACCTTCTTTCCTTTTTTCATTGTCATCTTTGGTCAACTTATATAATTAAGCGCATATTTTAATCATCTTTGAATTGTGAAATAGGTGGAGGTATGTAAGAATGACATGGGTTCTGTTATAGATAATGAATCATTTAGAGCTGTTCATTAAATTATCACAAACTTCTTTTAGTTTTAGTTTACTGTGGATATTGCTGTCCAAGAGAAGTAGTCCGGCTCCAGGGTTGACTATCAAGAGGGACAGTGAAACAAATGTTGTTTTACTTTTTAATTTGTAGAATTGGATTCCAAGGCAATAACAGGCAATTAATAAGTGATACTGCAGTGTCAGTTCTACATAGGTTTTTCTTTAGGAATATAGCTGCCCATCATGTATTTTTTTTCTTCATTTCTGGGCTGCTACTTTGATGATTGCCCTAGAAGTTCCTCAGTGGAGCTAAAAAGTATAAAATAATGAAGATTACTACTTTAAAAACATTATAACTGAAATTATTTAGTAAGTACTAGGGAGTGTTTTAGCTACGATTTTTCCCTTTTTTATTTTATACATGGTTTTTGTTTCAAGGTCAGAGGTTCCGTTACAGTTACTATGATGAATCCCAAGGAGAAATTTATAGATCCATTGAGCACCTAGATAAAATGGTAAGTTTTCCGATTTGGTGGAACTAACTAACAAATTTCTCCTGTACCTTACATTTCTTTGAACACTTTAGAAATTTCTCTAACAAAATCTCGTAGATTAGCTATTTTATTGAATGCTTTTCCTATGTTTACCATAGTAAGAATTTAGCTGTTGTTTTTAGCTAGTGTCCTCCATTTTATTGACTGAGCACAATATATTGTGGGTATAATCTAGTGAGCATAATTTATGAGAATAAATGCATGTTTGCCTACCTAAAATGCCATAGTAATGTAATTCCTGTCCAAATACCCTCCTATGTTTTGGGAAGCAATAAGAATTATGAATGGAGTATTGTGGTAATTCAGGCTTAATAGCTGTGATACCTGCGTATCGAAACAGCATTGTGGTTATGCTAATGGTTTCAGCAACATCCATTTTGAGGAGGAAATGCTGTACAGTATTGTGCTGGTGAGGAAAACAAAAGTCATCATTTCCTCAGGAGTATTCTTTCCCCCTGGCCCTTACTCTGTAGTAGGTGGTGGGGAAAAGCAGTAGACCATACTTCATTCTGGGTTTGGCAAACAGCTAAAGGAATGCTATATATATAAAGACTGTGATGCCAGTTACGTGGCATTTTCTTTGCAGCCAAGCGGCCAAGGATTTCTTTGTAAATGAGAAAAAATTGTGTTAAAGACTATATTTATGGCACAGAATAGAAGTAATTCTTCTGGAAATACATAACCTTCAAATTTATTTTAAAACTGTTTGGATCATTCATGTAACTTCTGTAAAATGTGTTACAAGAAAGACCTGTTGTTATTTAGGGCATGTTAACTTCTTCCTTGTCTTGAAAGAATAAATCTTGTCTGCTGGAAATCCCTGGAATTTTTTGCTTTCTGTATTAACCTCTTTGTTTTTCCACTGTTCATCGCTGGAATGGAAACAGTAAATTTGAACATTAAATTTGCCTTAATTCTATTTAGACCAATTCTTGTTGTAGGTTGAGAGGTTTTTGTATAAAGACAAGTGTGTTTCTACAGAGTCCCAGAATTTGAAGTTGAGTGTTTTTGCAAGAGCAGATTAACGTGCATTAGCATACATTAGTTTCCCCTTGTTAATTCCTGTGGTGAAAGCTTGTAGCAAGACTGGACTTTGACATTTAACTACTTTTAGTGAAAATGTTGAAAATCATGCCTACTGTTTAACACCTATGAAAACAATGCTTCAATCTTAACTGGAAAACTAAACATTCTGCATGGCAATATACTGTTATTACTTTATTGTCTATTTCATGCCATATATGAACACATTACTCTGTATTCAAACTCTACAGAGTGGGTTTTGCTATTACTGACTCAATAATTTTACTGGACTGAACTAGTGAAGCAGTCAGCTGAGTGCTTTGTGAGCAGGAAGGTATTCTGGGTTAAAGATGAAATTACTTTTCCTTAGAAATGCCCCTGTGGGAGGACAGTCGTCTCTTCCTCATTTAGACTGGACCTTAAGTATGGGTGCATGGTGATTTTCCTGGCTAGTGCATAAACAATGCTAAAAGCTTTGGGCATTGAAGATTTACTAACCTGGTAGCTGCTCTGAGAAATTTTATTTGCTGTAATGTTAAGTTAGCACCCTTAGACTCCAGCATAAAAACCAGAGAGTAGTAAATATTGCTGGGCAGATGTTGGTTTCTCCATGGTAACTCTTAATGTGATTGCTGTTACTTTGGGGGTACCACAGTGCACCTTGTAAAGTGATGGTGATGAAAGGAGTAGTAATAGGGGTGCATTAAGGAACAATCCTCAAATGAAGAGTTATAATTGAGCAGCTGAGGTGCAACAATTTGTATATCATAACCTGATACATATATATTTAAATAAAAGTGGGGAAGTATTATGTAAGATATCAAGAGAACCACAGAATGAGTTAGGTTGGAAGGGACCTTAAAGACTTCTAATTCCAGCCCCCTGTCGTTGAAGAGTACTAATTTTTTATTAAGGCTAGCCAGAAAATGCAGACTGCTTGCTTCAATCTTCACTGCCAGGTTGCTCATTTTATATCTACTTGTGAAACCTTATGTCTCTCTTGGGTCAATAGGAGGATTCTGTTACCCTGGATGTTGAAGGGGGAGGATAATGCAGGTGCTGAAGAGAGCAGCTAGAAGTTGTTGTGCAGGAACCATGCACAGCATGGGTGGCTGCTCAGGTGGCTCTAATGAACTGCTGAGTTCTCAGTGGCTTCTGTAGTGCTGCTGTGGTGTGCCAGCACCTTTCACAGTGCCCCAGCCTCGGAAGGCTTCTTAGCTTGAGCATAACGCATAAGTGTGAAGAAGCAACTGAAGTAACTGGTTGTAAACTTGAGCTTGACCAGCCAAAGCATTATTGGAGCATAGTATAAAATAAGCTTGTGGGTTGGTTGAGTTTGTTTTGGTTCTGATTTTTTTGGTATACTTATAGAAGCTTGATCCTATAAGGGATGATATTTAAGAATGTAACTGCTTTTAATCATATTAAGGACACTTGCTAAGATATTGCAGATTCCATTTGCAGTGTCTGGTTAACTGAGATATGCAATTTCTATGTAGTGCCATAATAACCATGTGATAAACTGCAGAACTCTGTGATGCATTTTTATCATGTGGATTTTGTTGTGTATTTTAACTGTTCTAAACCATGCCTTGCTGGGTTAATTTGAATACAGAAAATTATGAGCTTCATACTTCTGATTGTTAGAGAAATAAAACATAATCTGACAAAAATGTTTCTGTTGTTCCTCAAAATCATTTACACTGAGAAACAAGCTTGGTAGCCTTTGCTCCTCTGCCACAATGATTTTTAAATCCAGAAGATTGAAAAGTTTAGTACAGCTGAATGCTTATAGGGTATGTGTTAATACCTCTTTCCTATGGGTTTTCTCCAATCTGTGATGTACAGAGCTCTGTTAGCATTTTCTGGGATGAACTGCATGGCTCTAAATGTTTTGCAGTGCTGGACTGTTCATTGAAATAAGCTTACTAGGCATTCTGATAAACACATGTCCATTCAAGACACATGCTCAAATGCCTCTGCCCAGTATGTTCCAGTGACTTACAGCTACAAAATGAGTCTCTCAATTGAGCAGCCATTTTCTTTTCCTTTTTTTTTTAAAGTTGTGGAAAGGTTTACAATGGATAAAACGTATTCTTATGAGCTCTTCAACGTTTAGTTTCACTTGAGTGTTTTTATTAAGTTTGGTTCTGCTTTCTGCTGCTATGTATTGACACATACATTTTACAAGCAAATGGATGGTTCAAAGACATGCTGCTTAAACTTTAGAAATGCAATGGTAACTATGTAATCACAGCTAGTTAGAGAATAGCTGCTTTTTCGGTTTTTTGGCACTCATTTAAGTTCTGTAGATCTGGAGTGACAGCTGTAATTACTGGCCACGGGTCCAAACACCCTCTCCATGACTCTGGAAGAGCAGCTCTTACCGGCAGTTGATCAGCATAGTTTAGTTTTATTTTCCATAGAATTTATCTCTTTATGGATTCATTTTATGTCTGTTTTTAATTAAAAGTACACAGAGGTGCTGGTTATGGTTCCTGTTTGCTAATCCTCCCTGAGTCTCCTGGGAATCTCCAGCTCCTCAGTTGCAGACTGTGATCCAGTCTGAATAATTGGTGTATCTGCCAGATCAGCCAGCGCCCTTGCAATGCAGTTGAGATCCCATATTCCACCCTTGACTTGGAGACTTCAGACAGACTGACTGCTTCCTGCGTCATGATTTCTCCTTGCATCACCCACACTTACCAAAAGCAGGGGAAGGGGCCTAGAAAATAGCAGAAACCTTAAGAGAAATTATCTCCCTTTCTGATACCAACCTCCTATTGTTCGCATGCAAAGTATATGGGTTTTTTTTCTCACCTCTTAGGAAAACCTTCCTGTTTCATCAGCTGCATCTAAGCAGCACAGCTATATGTCTTACTGAATTAGTGAGTTTCTGGAGCTCATTTACTTGGTGAAGGGAATTAATCCTTTTCAGAGGAAGGAAATACACAAGAGGATAGAGTCTACTAATACAGGCAAAATAGCAAAGCCATGATAAAACCCAGACAATAATTGACTTAAACTTGTTTTAAATTACTTTCATTGTATTTGATCTGCACTGTGGGATGGGGTATGAGTAGGCTGTATCTGGAGTTGTAGGATTCTTTTTGCTTTTAGGACCCCAAATGTTTGTATATGGGGAAGGGTTTGCTTCCATGCATATGCTAGTTTTCATAGTATGACTCTGTGGGATCCTGGGTCTCATGGAGTGTGGATGGAGAAAAGGATGTATATATGTGACTGCCTTATGTAAAGTGGAAGTATCATCTTCTGGCTCTTAAGTCGTGCACCAACTTTACAGTGCTTCAGAGATGTTCTGGATTTGCTTTTCATGCGCTGAGCAGATGGCTAGCCTGTGCCCGGATCAACTGCCTTGCATGTGTGATGTGTCCAGGATACATTACATTTGCTACATGCTTGAATTGCATGTTTATGTATATTGATGATCTGTCTAGGGTTTTTGGACATCCAGAAGTCCTAGGCAGATGCTCAGCCCTGACCTCTGTTAAGGGGAGAGGAGACAGAAGCAAAAAATATTTCTGTTTTGCCCTTTTCGTCAGTTTGTCTGCTTACTGCTATACAAAATCCTATGGAAGTAGGGCACCATTGGAGGTGGGGATCAGCTAGTCTGCAAGAGGAGCTTTTTTAACATGAGCTTCACTGGTATCTGCCGAGATAGCTTCACAGATATGTAGCTCATTGACAGCTTTGGAAGAGCTTCTGCACTTTCAGTTTGGCAAGGAATAGCAACAACATGACTACAAACTATTGCCTTGATATCCTTGATAAAAAGTAGAGGGTTTTTTCCTCTTGAAGTATTCTGTGTTGTCATAAATAGGTGATGTATAAACACCTGCTTACGAATGTGCGAAGTAATCACTGCAATTGGTTCTTTTTCAGGGTATGAGCATCATAGAGCAGCTAGATCCTGTATCTTTTAGCAATTACTTGAAGAAATACCATAATACAATATGTGGAAGACATCCTATTGGTGTATTATTAAATGTAAGTAAAGCTTGATTTGTTAAAAAATGTAACTTTCAGCAAGATGCTTACATGTATTTTAAACACAACATTGCTGGAGTATTCCTTAGTTCTAAAATGGCAAGTTTTGAATTTGTTTTTCCAAGTGTTCTCAGTTTGGTCTCCAATTTCCATGTCCTATAGACAACTGTAAGCTCTTCCAAGGGCTGAGGGTTTTCAGTTCTCTAAGGGAGATGAGATACCATATTCCATTTGAATTTCAATGAAATGCAATCATTTGCTTTCTCTTGGCCCTAAATAAATGAATAAATCCATCTCCCTGAAGAAGTACATACTTAATCTTTTGAATTAGTACTTACAAACCTGTATATATCTTTTCTGTATTGCTATTAGCTAGCTATTGTGAGTACCTTATGATGTCTGGCAGCATTTTTGGGTTTTGCAAGTAAGATGAGAGATTGCTTCTCTAAGTATTAGTGCAGTGCACTGTTAACTCATAAATTGACAACAATTAAAATTCAGATTAACTGGTATTTTCTAGTTACTGTATTCTGCTTTGGTGATCCAGTGTAGGCATAAACCTGGCTTACCTTAGTTATCTTTACAGCATTGCTGGAATGATGCAGATTTGTCATACTGCTTGAGTGAATCTTGCTCTATTATTACTGTACTTCAAATATGAAACAGGTAGCTAGTTAACCTTTTAAATGGGGAAAATTCATCTCACTGGAAATGTAATCCATATGACAAACATATAGAGGGACCTTTTAAAGTGAAGTCTATAAAAGTTTTTATGAGCAATGTCAATATTGGGGATGCATGTAGCAAGAGTTAGTACTATGACAACTCTGCAAAAATATCCAACTCTTAACCTCAGATAATGATTAGTTTTGCAGTGAATCTGAGCTAAATTCTGTTGATTCACTTTTGCCAATTGTCGCACTTTACTAAATTGTCTTGGTACATTCTTTTTCCTTAATGGAAGAAATACGATTTTAAAAGTGTTAATAGTGTTGGGTTTTTTACTGTAACATCTGCATTTCTGTATGAATTCCCCATGGAACTGAAAGCATTGTTTCTAAAGGATCTATTTTGAAAGTGTTTTTAGTACTGCTTCGTAGAACTGCATGGATGTCCATAGCGCAGCAGGGGCAGTGTTAGCGAACGAAATGGCACTGAAATGAGTTAGGTCCACAGATTACTCAGAGATGCTTATATTATTATGAGCGGTGGTGCAAGGACCCATGGAGGGAGGGGTAAAGACAGGACGGAGAGATAGAAAATGTCATAATTTCACTGATACCTTTTTTTAAACAACATTTTTTCTCTCTTCAGGCTATCAACGAGCTCCAGAAGAATGGGATGAATATGAGCTTTTCATTTTTGAATTATGCTCAGTCAAGCCAGTGTCGAAACTGGCAAGACAGCTCAGTGAGTTATGCAGCTGGAGCACTTATGGTCCACTGAACCGCTGAATGCTCAGGGATGGCACCTGCACACACCCTGTATACGGGGTCCCAGCCTAGCCCTTACAAAGATACAGTCCCTGGTCTTTGGGTATACTGAAACCTCAAACTAATAGAACTCTTCTTTTCTAGTAGGTGTAGTCCTTCCTTAGTTTCAACTCATTTAAAAATGCTTTCTTGTTTAGGACAGTGGAAGGAAGGCTGGTATCAAAACATTTTGTGATTTTTATTTCTTATTTTTTGGGGGGGAAAGATAATGGCTATGGAGGCATGGTGGCAGACAGTCCTTACAAATACATGTAAAGCATTTACCATATCCTAAATTTGCACTCTTTGCAGACCTGTGCACATATACTCAGCTTTCAGAATAGTTTTGCAAGTTGTAAACAGAAAAAAGGTGGAAGCTCTTGAATGAAAGGAAAAAAAGGAAAAAAAAGAAAACAATGCATTTATAAATGATCCTGTATTAGAATATAATAAAACTCCAGTATAGTCAGTTACTACCCATGATGTACAACAGATATCTTCTATTTTAGTTGCTAATAAAGGGCTACACAAACCAAAATAGTCTGATTTAAACTTATTGCTTTGTGTTCTGTATGTGGCTGCTTGTTATTAACATTCTTTATCCTCAGTTCATATGCTTGATAATTCCGCCATTGTGTAAAATACTTCAGAATGTATTTTATACTCAACATTTGTTATGACTGCTTCATTTAGAGATTTTTTTATCTTAAACCTGCACTATGAGTTCAGCTGTGCAAAAGAACTTAAAAACCTTTTGTATATCCCGATCCCTTTTGGTTTACAACTATCTATAAAATAGTATCTTATAGTATGTGATACAAATTTGTATCAAAAATACACTTTTAATGATTTTATGCTGTTTGATTATTAAAGTGAAATAGATGCAGTATTTTTATTTGAAATGACAAGCAGTAGTTTGAAAAAGATAATTCTTAAGCGTATCTATCAAGCATTCATAGGCCACAAAAGCCATACAGTGCTAAGCTCAAGCAGTTGATTCTTCAGAGATTTAATTGGGAGGGGAAGGTAAGGTCTTTTATTTATTTTTTAGTCTTTATTCTTTCACTGTAGGTAGAATTGCTTCATGTTCTGCAAATATCATCACATCTTAAGAGTTCCTGAATTTTCTTCCAGCCAAAATAATGGTGTGATTATTTGAGTTATCATTCCTGAAGATTTCCTTTTGTTCTGATAAATGCAAAGTAGGAAGACAGTTCTGGCTCATTGTCTAAATGGAGATTTCATTCCTTGGTATTTCACCTGCTGTCAAGCAAACCTCTTGGTACATTCAGCTTTTCTGAGTGGCAGAGGGGAATTTCGGAATTCAATTTAGATTATCTTTGAAAGTTGTGAATTGCTGCATACAAAGTCTTCAACTGAAAGCATACTAGATGTTGTAATCTTATCAAAATACCCTTTTTCAAACAGACACTTCTTACACCACTTCTGTTTTCCTTATCATAGTTGGCCACCATTTTAGTAGTAAAGAGGTGAATGCTCCATTTACAAAATTAACTACTTTGCAATGTTCAGAATCCATTCCAAATGCCAAACTCCTTTACATGTTTGTTGTTTCAGTTGCCTTATTGCTCAGCCTTGTTCTTGGAAAGTCTCAGCAGCAGACAGGTAAAAGAACTTTCAAATTACTTTTGAGAGACCAGCAGGAAGGCTCTGCTGATAGAACTGAATTTGTAGCCAGTCTTTATAAATACTTGTCTGACTGTGCCTTATTAAAAAAAGTAGTTTTATCATGAAGGTGTTTCTTTTTTTTTTTTTTTTAATCTTTGGTGAATACAAATTTAATTAGGACTCAGGTTTCCTTTAGTCTTATGCCAAATGCTTAATGCCATTCTTGAAACACATAGTTAATTGGGATAGTGAAATATATACTTTCTCCCTAAGGTAAACATAGTAATTAGCTTCTGAATATAAATGCCTGAGTTGCATCTCAGTTCTGTGAGATAGTTTTAATAAAAACAAAACTGGAAGACCTTCAAGGATATTGGTCAGCCATTTTGCTCAGCACAATGTTACGAAATATCTTACAGTGAAAGCACTTGACATGTAAACTGTGTAATGTATTTCAGAATAAAGTTTCTAATTAAAATGGGAATTTCTGTGCCTACTAATAATAACCAGCAATGACAGTTCAGAAACCCATCCAGAGAGAAATTTAAAGCTTTGTGAAATTTGCTCTAACTTAGAAGGCTTTTCTGTAAAAACCCTGTTTTGATTGAAAGTACAAAATACCTTTTGGTGGGGTTGGAGGGAGCTGACTTTCAGCGCTCTGTTTCCTGGTGTGTCGTTTGAAATGTGGCGAAGGAAAAGCAAATCATGTCCTGGAAAGATCTTCACTCAAGACTATAGTTTCATTATTTTAGCTTTATCACACACTTTATTCTCACTTAAATATACACTTGAATATAGCATTTTGGAACAGGGGGTTTCTGATTTAAGACAGTATGGAACGTTCCCAGTCCTGTTCGCCTTTGTGGAGGTTTCTTCTAAGCACAGGCTGAGCTTTGACCACTTTTCTGGTGCAGGAAGTCTAGCTAGGGACATGATTCTCAGTCTGAAATAATTTTTGCATTTTAGAGAAACGTTCAATGCGTAAAAATCTTGATTAAAATACTTCCTTGTTGGTTTTTTGTGTTCTTGCATTGTTCACAAAAGGCCTTTATGATTTTTTTTTTATTATTCCTTTTTAATGCTTTGAAAGTACTGTCTTCTTAATCCTTCATCTTAAAGAGTTTGACACCTAAATAGAGCAGTAGGTCATCCACTGCTCTAGGTTTAGAGTGGCAGAAGCAGCAGGTGGTGAATGCCTCAGTGGGCATCAGCAGCTGCCTCTCGTTTTTAATCAAGTGTGCCAAGGCCTGCTCCTCTCAGCGTGGTACAAGGGAGGGGTGTCTACCTCAGCTGGCTTTTGGGCATTATTTACACTAAAATCATGGCTCGAGTGGCTTTGATCCAGTGTTGCTGTTCTAACTGAACTCTTACTCCAGTGCAGTCTCCCTTCTGACAGCCTTCGGAAATGATAAGTTCACCCAGGCATTTTCAGGCCTAGCTCTCACTCTCTGTGTTTCCCAGGCAGGGGCTCATTGTTGTGTCTTGGGATTCCAGATACTGCTGTAGGGTTTGCTAAGGAATTTCAGATTGACATTGCAAACACTGAAATGGGAGGTCGCTGTTTGACTCCTGCACACAAGGTCTAACAGTATTTTGGCATGCTCTTTCAAAGATTGGTGTACAGTTTTACCAGTTCATGTTTTTTCTCCTTATTCCCTCAGGAAACATTGCTCTCCTGTGCCTCAAAGGAAGCTTTGCTTTCAAATGACATGACTCACCATGATTTGCAGTTGTTACCTCCTTGGGCTGAGTTCAGTGCTAACTACCACCTGATCCACTCTCAGCAGTTACTCAAACTATTAGATTCACAAAGAAGTGATTGAAGTCCCTCTATAGGTGACCCTCTGCTTTCCTACTTCTGTTAGAAACTTCCTGAAACTTACCCTTGAAGCCAGCCTATGAAAAATCTTCAGTGTGAAGAAGAACTGGATTTCAGGATCCAGTTTAGTGCAGGGCCCACAGTGTAGCCAGATGGCCTTTTCAATAGATGGGTGGAAAATATGATCTGGAATTTGTGTGCAGGGATGAACTGACTGTTCTTTCAGTAACGCAAAATCCATTGCTTCTATTCAGATTGTTTCTAGAGCTATTTTATTTTTTAATTAGTATTTTGTTTAATTCTGAAAACAATTTGTCCATGCATACTGCAGACCACTTCCAGATGCCTGGTGTCATTTGGGGGTTCTCTTATCCTGCATTAGCTGAAAACTCAGCATTGGCTTCTTTCTGTCTTGTCCGTTACCTGTTTATATGTACATCCCCTAATGCCAGGGTTTGAGATGTCTTTCCCAGTGCTTACACCCCAAGAATGAAAATGCCATGGTAGTGATATCTCTAAATTAAGACAGAAATTGTCAAGTTTGTTTGCTTGCTTGTGTTTGGGGGTTTTGGTTGGGGGGGGAGGTGGTGGTGTTGGTGGAGGCTTGGATCTTTTTGGGAAGAGCATAGAAATGAGGAGAATGGGCACAGATGGGGAAGAATATGGTTGCTTTTCCAATTTAATGTTAGCAACTGTTGTACTACCCTGTCTGGGAGCTGACATGCTGCAAAATACTGCCCAGGGCAGCTGCAGGCTGGATGCCATTGTGGGCAGCCTGTTAGTGCTACTTCAAAGAGAAGAAACGTTGGAGGTATTTTGTCAAGTGAAGCTCAGTTGGTTGAAGCTTAAGGATGAGAATCTTGTGCTGATACCTTTACGTTACAGGTAAATAAGGTGTCTTATCCTTTACGCAAAGGTGATGGACCCCCACACTACCCAGTTTTCTAAGGTGATGTGTGTGGTTCTTAGTGGGTTTAAGAGAAGTGAATAATTTTCTCAGCCCTGTGACCTCCACTGACATTTATGTAAATATGTATTCCCTACAAACAGTTCTGTATACAGTTTTCAAAGCTTGTGAAACCAAAGTTACGTAATTACTGTTTTCAAACAGAATAATTTTCTTTAAATCCCATGAAAAAATTACCTGGGGCCTCAAATCTGCTGTGAGTGAAGCTGGTAATGAGACTTCAGATGTCAGTGATCTAGTATCTGCTCTGTATATGACAAAGCCCTAATTGGCAAGAATAAAACATTGTATTAAGCATTAAACTAGGAACTATCTCAACCTAAACTTCTCAGATTTCTTTTTTTTCCTCTAGTGCATTTTAAGCCAACCTGTGGCTGCAGCTTCACAAGGCTGAGAACAGCAGTGCGCTTGGTTCAAGTCCCTTCTTCATGAAATTCTGTTTGTTACATTTCTCTGCTGACCTCTTGCAGCATGGAATATTAGCATCACTTAAAAGAAACCCCAAATTCCAGTAAACCAAACAATCCTCCCAACCACAAAAATCCTATAAGCATATTTCTACAAAAAGTAGGGAGTGCTTTAACCAGAAAGTAAACCTGATGAAGGCTGGGGCAAACCCGGGTGGGGGAGCTTCCTAATCCACATCTGCAGCAGGAGCGCTTCAGGAGGTGGGTGCCATAGCTGAGCAGGCAGTCCTCAGTGTTGGCTTGGACTCCTGGCCCAGGGGGAGGGCCTGCTCCACTAAATGCAGGTGAAGTCTCTGCTGATCAGCAGGACTCTTGAAATATGCCTCTGCTTGTGCTAGAGAATGAGCTCTGGTGAGGGTCTCTTCAACAGTCTGCTTTCCTGCAGGCAGTCTTGTATGATATGCCCTGTCCCTGGCAGTGTTCAAGGCCAGGTTGGATGGCACTTGGAGCAATCTGGTCTAGTGGAAGATGTCCCTGCCTGTGACAGGGGAGTTTCAAACAGATGATTTTTAAGGTCCCTTCCAACCCAAACCATTCTATGATTCTATGAGATTGAGTGAAAGTGCCAGGGTCAGGGATGTGTTCCCATCATTGTACAACAGTTGGCTGGAAAACGGGAGTTTCCTGCTGCCACTACCTCTTCTTGCTCTATTGACTACAGGCTTCCCAGCTGGCAATGCCCCTCAAATTTGGACAGGGCACCTCCACAATCGCTGCTGCCCCCATCCAGATACGGCTGCAGCCACCGCCAGCAGCAGCCAGCGTTAGTCCTAGTGAGCGCGGGGCAGGCAGGGCTCTACCGTGCCGCTTTAGCAATGCCCATCGCAGACTGGTCCGGAAGGAAGAGTTCTCCTCAGGGATAGCTCCTGAAGCGGGAGTTATTTTGGGGAGGGGGAGGGCTGGCCGACACTAGGTGTCAGTGTCGTGCTTCCCTCCGCTCCTGCCTGCAGTTACTTCCAGAATGCCCGTTGGTGCCTCTCGTTTTCCAGTTTGTCCTGAGCTGCCGGGCCATATCCAACAGCCCCTTTGCCAACCAACAGTCTCTTAACAGTAATGGGCTAAAAACAAATAAAAACCCCTTAAAAATAATTACATTGAATCATAGAATCATAGAATGGTTTGGGTTGGAAAGGACCTTAAGATCATCTAGTTCCAACCCCCTTGCCATGGGTAGTGTGAAGATCATCATTTACTGAGTTGTCTGTAAAAAATGGCAACAGCATCTATTATATACACATATGTTTGTTGACAGCTCATAAGCAAACATTCAATCTAAAGCGATAGCGTGTCTCCAGCTCTTGCTCTCAACATTTCCTGGGTTCTGGGTTCAGTTGTAGCAGGTATTTTTCTGCTTCCTAGTAGCTGGTGCAGTGTTTTCACTTTAGTCAGAGAGCAACGCTGATACCACACCGATGTTTTAGTTGTTGCTCAGTAGCACTTACCCTGATCAAGGACTTTTCAGTCTCTCATGCTCTGCCAGTGAGGAGAGGCACGGGAAGCCAGGAGGGATCAGAGACAGGACACCTGACCTGAACTAGTCAAAGGGGTATTCCATACCACAGCACATCATGCCCAGTATATAAACTGGGGGGAGTTACTTGAAAGGCCCACATTGCCCCTTGGATCGGGCTGGGTATCGGTCCGCAGGTGGTGAGCAATTGTATTGAGCATCACTGCTGTTTGTTTTCCTTTTTTTCCCTTCCCTTTTTAGTTTGATGTTCTCTCCCCTTGTTATTTCCCTTATTATTATTATCACTGGTGGTAGCAGTAGTAGTTTTGTATTATACTTTAGTTATTGGACTGTTCTTATCTCAACCCAAGATTTTTTTGATTCTCCTTCTCATCCTGCTGGGAGCAGGGTGGGAAGAAGGAAAGGAGTGAGTGAGTGGGTGCATGGTTCTCAGGTGGTGGCTGGACATAAACCACGACACCAACTCATGCAACATCACTTCGGTTGGTTTGTTTGGTGTTTCAAGAAGGCTATTCTCCAGTCAGGGGCAAGGTGGGAGCTTGGGCTATGAGTTGTGTGAGGAAAGGAAAAGCTTTCTCCCAAGCTCCACTGCAAATGGCATTGCAGGTGAATTGTTCTCCTGTTTGTGTAAATAGTGGTGGCAAGACAGGTTCATCAGGGTGGGCCCAAGGCAGCAGCTGAGGCAGCAGGATGGATGTGAGCATTCTCCGTGTCATCTCCCACCCCTGCACTCAGTGGCAGGATGGGTCTTGGTCTGTGT